TCTGGATCAAATGTAGTATAGTTTACCCTAGCGTTTCTAGAAATTTTGCTATGAGATCAGAAAAATTAGCCACAAACGTTATAGAAGAAAATTCGTTTGATTGGCGGATATAGATCAATTATCTGGATAATTTATTTATACATACATACATTTTAAAGTTTATTTTTCTTTTATTATTACAGTATTAACATTAGAGAGGTGGTTAATATTATTATACAAACGAATCCCAAGAAGATCCCAAGCTAACCTTGCCCTGAAGACAAAATACACAACCATTTATTGGATCACACAAAACTATTAGATATTAAAGGTACTGGAAATGTTTTATCAGTTTGGTGTTTTACAATGTTAGATCTTTAGATCTAAGTGAACTTTCAGTACTGACTGCTGTTTTACAACCTTAGAACATTAGATCTAAATGAACTTTCAGTACTGACTGCTATTTTACAATGTTAGATTGTTAAATTTAAGTAAACTTTTAGTATTAACAGCTGTTTTATGTTAGATCATTAGAGCTAAGTAAACTTTTAGTACTGATTGCTGTTTACAACGCTAGATCGCTAGATCTAAGTGAACTTTCAGTATTGACAGTTTAATTTAAATAGGTATAGACTCTAATAGTAGCGGAACTAGATATTTGAATTTGCAGTATGTTTGGTTTAACACCATAAGTTAAGCTTCGGCTTATTGATTGTAGGTTGTATAATAAGTATAAATACCTGCTTTTATTCCACTTCAGTTTTTTTAGATCATGGCTCTTATTATTCTCTGTACCAAACTTTTTCAGCCAGATATATACGTACACACACATCTTCAATAAAGCTAACTACCTGTTCGAAATGATTATATATAATTAGTGATTGGCTAATTTATCTGATCTCATAGCAAAATTTCTAGAAACGCTAGGGTAAACTATACTACATTTGATCCAGATTATTATTAGAAAAAAACTAAAAAACTGAATAGAATCGAGATGTATAGCAGAAGTACTCTACCAACCAGGCCACCAGAACTAGAGAAAAAGGATCTGCTTAATTGTAATTATCAGAGGACCAGTAACTTACAAATGAAAGTTCCTTCTGGGCTATCTGAATTGGTAGTTCAGACTAGCCAGATCAAACCAAGAAAACTAAATAAATGAAGTATTTGAAGAGGCATTTCTACCAACTGGGCTGCCAGAATTGAAAAAAAAAGATTTGCTTAATTTGTAATTATCAGGGGACCAGTAACTTCTGGATGAAAGTTCTTTCCGAACCATCTGAATTGGTAGTTTGAGATTTAGGAAGTACTTCTAATAGTTTGTAAAGTGGGTACTGGGGTTTGAGTGAACTTTACAAAGGCAGAAAGTAGGTAATGGTAGCGACTTTGGCTCGCAAATACTTGTTTTCAGACTTGGCATAAGTTACTAAAGTCTAGATTAGCCAGATTGTGAGTATAGAAAGCTTTAGCAAGTTTATCTTGAGAATAAAGAGCTCTTTAAATAGTTGAAATCTGCTTTAAAATCCTAAACCGGGTGTCTGAAAATAAGGGGTCTGAATAGATTCTCACTCAGTTATAAAGGTTAACCTCATAGGTGCAGAGGGTTTAAATAGATAACCCTCTAGTTAGGTTATAGATATAATATCTAATGTAGAACTTAGTAATAAGTGGACTATTTAAATAGACAATCAAAAGTTGTACGTGTGACTAGTATATACTCTTCAAATATGTATATAGTACAGGCTATCCTGAAAGGGTGAGCTTATCATACAGTAAAGTTAACTAATAACTAAATAAAAGAAGACAGCCAAGAAGTCTTCTTAACATTGAAAAAAAATATATATATATAAATTTATATTATTATATAATTATACATATTTGTATTATATAATATAGAGTTTATACTATTAAATAGCAATACAATATAAGTTTGTATTATATAATACATACTTATATAAAATAAAAATATTGAAATTTGTATTATTTAATATATAAATTTATATATTTATATAGCTATGTATGTTCTTATTATATAATATATACTTGTACAATATTATAATAAGAATACAAATATTATTATTAGAGTATACAAAATTAATTTTTTGTTTTTCATAATATTAAATTTTAAAAATAATCTAGCTAGCTAGTAGGGTTAGAGGTACAGAGCATAAAGTATACCTTTATCAGGAACAGAATACGAAGTATGTAGGATATGATTTATAGGCAAGTTAAGTAAAGTATATAATTATAAGTATTTGATTGGGCAAGAGCTCTTTTTGACTTTGTATAGCACTTCAAACAATATTAAAAAAGAATGCTATCAAGAAAGATGCCATATACAATTTATGTTAAATGATATTTGTAACTCCAAATATATACACTATATAAGGTCGGAGTAAATTTTTTTTGTTATTGTAAGCAGTTTACTTGTAAGTTTATCTTTAGAAAAAATTGTTAGTTGATAATATTAGAATAATTGCATTTGCATACTGGAATGCTTTTAATATTGCTAATTCCTTTGTATCTTTTATACTACTATTATCTAATATCTTATACCATTTTTGTAATTCTTTATTAATATCAGATACAGTTGGTCTATCAAAAGGATTAATATCCATACATTTATTTGCTAATTAGATATAGCACTCAGAAGTGTTTTTAGCAAATTTAGAACATAATTCATTGCAAATTTTCAGTAGCCTAGAATGTATTGTATCCAGGGTACTAAAGATAGATAAATTAAAAATAATAGCACTTAGAATATAAAGTACTCAGGTACTAAAAACCGGTTAATTGAACTTTAGAATATACAGTAAAATACTCGAGTACTAAAGACTGGTTAATTGCATTTGTGAATGCATAGTAAAATACTCGGATATTAAGGACTGGTTAGTTTCACTTGGGAATGCATAGTAAAATATCCAGATACTAAAGATGATTACTGTAGCACTCTATATAGTATAACTTATACCTCCCACACAGACCATAGTATCTCTCTGACTATAATACCCATATATACTGCTTAAATTGTAAGTACTCTGAGTATTTTAGTCCACGCTGTATGGTAATTCTTTTTTTTTTTTGATGAATCAATTAATTAATTTATTTTTAATATTAACTATAATTATTTAACAGATAGCGAATTTAACATTTGAATATTAAGCATAATTTTTAAGTAGCAGCTGATATTTATGGTAAGTGAATGATTATCAAATTTCTTTTTTATTATTTTCAAAATAATACTTATGATAACGTATTTCTACCACTTCTATTATCATCATTCTATTCTCATCTTCATTTTCGTTCTCGGTACTATAATCACTATCATTTCTGTTATCATCATCTCTATCCTTATTTTCGTTTTCGTCCTCATTATTCTCACTATCACTATCATAATTTTCATCCTCCTCTTCATCCTCTTCTTCATCATTCTCATCATTCACTTCATCATACTCATCTTCATGTCAATCTTCATTATTCTCCCTTTTATCATTCTCCTCATTTTCCTTTTCGTCCTCTTCACCCTCACTCTCATCTGTTTTTTTCTCTTCAAAATATCCTGTGTTCTTCATATATTCCAACATCTTCTCCCAAAAATTATTTTTGTTCTGCCGGTGCTATATAAACTCAAACAAGCGGTCTAAAATTTTAGACTTTGTACGGCTTCTTGATGGAACCTAAAAAAAAAAAAAAATGTCAATTAATTAATCAGACCGATTTTTATTATTTTGGTAAGAACAAAATAATGTTCTATCGTATTGTCTCAAAATAACTCCCAGGGTGTAGATTAAAAATCTGTCTCGAATTAAGCTTAATTTGGTTTAATTAAGCTTGATTTAAGCCAAATTTTTAACCTACATCTAGACATTATTTCGAGATAATATAGTAAGTTAAATTTAGCACAGGCTATAATTTGAAATTACTCCTGACATTATTTTGCACCTATAGATAATTAGTTGCAATTAGCTATTGCAAGTTTAATTTATAAATATAATAGTTGATTTACAGCTGTTTTCATAATTCTAGGGATACTTGTAAAAAATTAGCAGAATGATTTTTTAGTGGTTAAGTTATTATTTCGGCATGATAGATTAATTTTTATTAAATCGATTATGCCAAAATAATAACTTAACCAGATTGGCTAAAAAATCATTCGGCTAATTTTTTATAGGTGTCTCAAGAATTATGAAAACAACTAGAAAACAGCTATATGCCAAAATAATAAATTAATCAGATCGGTCAAAAATTATTCGGCTAATTTTTTATGAATATTCCCAGGAATTATGATAATAGCTATAAGGAATTAAATCGATTAAATTGATTTTTTTTAATTACTAACCTAAATTTTAATACCATTTCAGGTTCCTTCAATAGTATTTGTATGGGTACCAGTAGTAGGGTTGACAAAATTTAAACTATAATTTACGGTTTGATGTCGAAACCCTAAATCAGAGTTTATTCTTGTGTAAGCATGCCACAGGTCTGAATAAATAATGGACCCGAGGTTTATATTTTCTTCAATTAAAGAGAGTAGGGTCTCAGCGGATCTGTCATCAATGGCTCTTGCAAATATTTTTCTATCAGAGGTTCTCTCTATACCACCAAAAACCCATACTTCTTTAACACGATGGCCACGGTTATATTTTTGCCTATCGAACTTTGATTCATCTATTTCTACTATAATATCTGGACCCCCAATACTGCCTTGAATCTGTTGAATATCAAAACCAACGAGAGTTCTATAAAGAAAATAATTGAATTTAGGGAGGAAAAAAATAAAATAAAATAAAATAAGAACAATAACCTATAATAACCTATATAGGCAGTTATTGTATGTAATGAATAGCCTGTGATAGCTATAATTGATTTATGCGATACATTGGAAAGCTATAAATAGCCGATTAAAAAGGTTTCATGAGCCTTTAATTGATTTTTAGCAAAAAAAGAATCTTGAAGATCGTCACGGCTTTCCTGCACCTTTTTCGCCTACATTTGAAAACCTTGTCATGCTTTGTTGTTCTAGTATTACATATGCTGCACGTGGGTTGTTCATACAAAATCCTTTTATCAAATAAAAAATTGATGCAATTTTCTTTATTAAACAAAATAGACTAGAACGATAAGAGTGAAGGTATCATTTTTAGAAGAGTACAAACAATGATGATGAAAATCTGTAAATAAAAAAAAAAATAGAAAAAAATCGAATTCTGCAAGATAATAATTACATCATAATTTTGCAATAGAATAATTTTTTATTTATTAAATTATATAGACTGCAAAAAGTGAAATGGCTTCCGAAATAGGTATA